CCCCTAACGGGAAGATGAAGGCGGGGAAGGATGACCTGGAGAACTTCGCCTGCTGCGTGAAGACGATGAAGTAGACGGAGAAATGTGAACACCATAACTTATAATTGCATCCACCACAACCTATTTAGAGGTAGAAAGAGCCTGAGATTCCTGACTCCTTTCCCTACGAACCAAAGCATGATGTGCAAGCATGTTGTGTCTCAACCTAGATTGTCTTTCAGCCATAACTCTTGTAGAAGTGCGAAACAAATGTTACCAAAAAGACTCATGTTCAAAAAATGGGAAAAATGCGGACAACCTAAAACCGGAGATGCATTTCTGGTGTTATATGTAAACGTTGAACAAAATCGAATATGTATCTCCGATATGACATGCAACTTTTCTGCTTCTTCAATGACGAAGCTCATCCACTAATACCTTAAAAAATGGCCATTGATCATAAAAACGACCATACTAAAATGTTTATTCCTACTTCTAAGCTTACAAACACAAAAACTACTTGGATTATCTAACCTAAAACGCAATTTCTAGGTGAGATTATATTAACTCAAAAATAACTTATAATTTCTGATTTTTGTTGGTTGATGAAGCTTGAATAATGATATTTATCTGTTGCTTGTAGATTTCTGATGAGATTTTCGCATAATGGGATGATTTTAACACAATGGGGGGAGGGGGGGTGAGAGGGTTTTGTGTTTGGATTTTGTGTTTGAGTTCAAAAACACTTTCTGAAATAAGGAAGGGAAAGAGACAACATGAGTATTTGTGTTAACACGAACCAAAAATACACTTATAGGCCCCTTCCGTAAATGCATTTCCAGTTTATTTCTGCGTAACATATGAGGTTTCTTAGGCTAAATTATAATCTATAATTGGGGTGCTTCCAAAAATACAACTACGGGTCCCTCCCATAAATACATGTCTGATTAGTTTCCTTCACTTTTATAGGGTCTTGCCCATCAAATGTCTGGCTAAGGGTGCTTCAAGAAATATATTTCACATAGCCAGGGGCATTTATGTATTTTCGCACAGTGCGCTAGAAAAGCATAAAATGTGTTAAGAAATTTCCTAAATAAATATCTACTCAAATCTGAACCCACACGCTTATAATTTCTTATTAAGAAGCTAAAAATTATTGTTCATAAGACTTCATCTTACAAATGATACTAAAACAAATAAAAACAAGCACCAAGACTAATAATAAAACCACTACAAACCAATAGGAAAACTAAAAATATGGGCAACAAATCAATTTGATTTGGGAATTTATTAGTACACTCTTATATGAGTGAAAAACCTCTAAAATCCTAAAATACCCTTCGGAGATGCATATCAGAACGAACTCTTAAATCAATTTTCAAGGTGTTTTGGAGATGCATATCCAAAAATCTTCTATTTATATGTTAGTATAATTTGAACAACATTCAGTGATATTTTCGGATATGCATATCCATAACACCTTGAAAATTGATTTAAGGGATCGCTCGGATATGCATCTCCGAAACCCTGGACAGAATACATTTGCAGCATAGTTTTTTTATAAAACATCAATGTGGTACCTAATAAACACAATGATTTGATACGTAATTCGTTTAAATAATATCGAAATACCGAAATACCAAAAACTAAAAATGATATGAACATAAATAGTTCATAAATACGGGAAATTAGTACATAAATTGTTTAGAAAGTACAGAATATAAAATAAATACATTGATAAATAAAAAAGGCATAGTCTACAGCGTATGCCTAATCCTAACCCTCGGATCCCTCCTCTACCTCTTGTAATCCACTACACTCGATGTCTCTTTAACCATCCTCTCTACGATGGCCACCGCCTCATGGCCGCCCCTCTCAATGATCCCTAAGTCCAAAGCCTCCTTCCCAATTAATTGTATCTGCTGACATATCGGTAAGACATCAATGACATGGTCATCTTGAGCCTGCTGATTCTCCAAGGTCTCCTCATGAGCTGGCCGAGTTGGACGTCCAGGAGAATTCGGTGTCATAATAGGGTGTGACATTATGTAAAACCAAGTCATGTATCACTCCACACAATGCCAACTGCTTGATGGCCGCATCGTCTGAAACTCTTATGGAACCATATAATTATCCCAATCCTGGAAGATGTCACCGAGGTCCCAGCGGACAATGGTGTCGAGAGCAGCCTAAAAAGGAGATCTAGGTATGATCTGTACGTAGCCAAACTGTCAGATGCATCACTCTGGAAGATACCTGACTATAATATCAGTCCCACATGCCAGCCACTCTGAATATAATGAGATGGAGTCAAAGGGGGAAATCTCTTTGTGATCCTTAAACGACATCCAGAGGATGTCATCATGAATAGTCCGATCAACACACAGAACGACGATAGAAGATGATTCCTTATATGGAGGATATACATGGCAGCGCTCGGTATCTCCTCACTATACTATAGATCAAAATCGGAAATCATGAATGCAGTGAAAGTGAGAAATGATTCATCCATGAAAAACGAATAAGAGATATATAAGAATAAATTATTAATAGAAAATTAAATTTGATAGTTGGAATAAAATGTACTATGAGCAGAGTGCGAGAGCCTGTCAGCTGCCCTATCCTCCGTTTAGAAGCTTCATTCAGCTTTTGATATTAGGTATACCAAACAACCAACCCCTCAGTTCCAGTCCTTAATTGTACCCAAATCCATAAAGTATTGGAGATATGTCACATCCATGTACGTTACACTTTTGTCCATAAAATGGACGTATCAATCAAGAACATGAAGTAACACCGCAAAACACACTCGCGGTGGTAGGGAACAAAGAACTCATCACCCGCTCTCTCGGAAGATGCTTCCGCAACGAGGTGCTCTGTATATAGGTCGCCCAGAAATGAGAACTTGGCATATGCCCCATTAGTTGAGGAACCTTGTTCCTCTACCTTTTCTGGTTGAGCTCCCAAATACTCGACCATCCATTTAATCACTTCACGACAAGTAATTCGAAAGTGGTTAAGTAACCTCCCTCTGATGGGAAGACGTAACAGACATAAACCATCATCAAGTGTGATTGCCATCTCCCCAACATAAAAATGGAAAGATGAGGTCTCCTTGAGCCATCTCTCGGAAAATGCCCCTTGCATGTCGTGGCTAATAGTAACATAATCGAAACAACAGAGTCTGACAAGTCTGGAGCCAAGAATTGTCTCCCTGAACCTATCCTCATGTGGATAATGTAGATCAAATATTTTTCGCGTGTGATTCACGGACTTTATGGACAACCGTTTCTGTTAAAATAAATATTATTCTCAATATTAGTCATTAACACATTTGTGCGTAAATTATTTAAATGAAAAAGTATTATAAAAAATATATCTCTCTATCCCAACATGTCGGCTGCATGTTCACTGTAGTAAACCAAGAGGGAAGTGTCAGAGGGTCCTCCAGGATACCCCTGATTTTCCTGCCCCGTTGTTGCACATAGAAGTGCAACCGATGTATCATGAACAACCTCCTCAGGTTCATGTGCCCGAACATCAACCTCCTCGGATTCCTGCTCATTAACTCGAGACGAGGACACATGAGACAAGTGACTCCTCGAAATAGAAGTCGATGCTCCGAGCACTTCCTCCCGTCTTCCTAGTAGTATGTTCAACTCTCTCACGTCGAGCAGAGGCAGTCTGACTTGGTCTGCCAAGCCTCAATCTGTGGTTTAGGTTCTCAGTCATTTTCCCGAAGAAAAAAATTATTACTCAAAGGAAAAGAACACGCGTGAAATAAGTTTAAAAAAAAACACTTATTTTTGGATGTGCATATCTGAAACAGCTCATAGGTATTTTCGGAGATGCACATCTGAAATAACCTGCGACTGCCATTTTTAAGCAATTGGAGTTTCTTGCCCTAAATCACTTAAAAACTTCCCTTTGACACCCAAACAACCACATTTCACAAGTTATACTTCAATCAACTTAATTTACATGATTCTAAATAACATATTTTATATTTGCAAAGTAGAACAATGGATTCAAAGAAACTTACTCAAATTTAGAACTTTGAAGTGTTGTTGAAATGGGTTGAAAATATGCTTTACTTCTTGAAAATGTATTTTGTTCTTGAAATGAGTTGAAAGTGTTGCTCAAAGATTGCAAAAGAGAAAATTGGAATAGAGAGAATTGGAATATAGTTAGAAATAAGAAAGAGATTTTCTATATTAAAACTTTGTATATGTTTAATATCATTCAGATATGTATATCCGAAAACTCACAATACTTAATTTATGAGATTAGTTCAGATATGCATAACCGAAACACTGAATTCGTTAGCCAAAACACCGAATTCGTTCAAATATGCATATCTGAATTCAGAGGTATTACGGAAATTTCACCGAGGGTCTCTAAGAAAGTATAAGAGTGCATTAAAAAATTGCCATTTGATTTTCACATTCCCTTTCACCCTTCTCTTCCTGCCAAATACCTAATTTAGTTTTCCAGCATGCTGATCCCTTTCACCCTTCTCTTCCTGCCAAATACCTAATTTAGTTTTCCAGCATGCTGATTTTAGATTGGATATTTTCAAAAACATGAAATATTGAGTACACACCATGCCCAAGTTAACACCAAATCCTAATAATAAGGTAGAGCACTCTCCACATTACTTTAAAAGATAAAATATATATCAAATATCAATTAATACATAATCGATTAATACTACATTGAGATACATAACGAATCACATATTTACCAGTAGCCTACTTTCACATCGATAATTGATAGTCATTATTTCTCCCTTTAAAATGAACAAAAATGATATTGAACTAAAAATAATCCAATGGGATTTGCAACAAGAAATATGTTCACCAAGCAAGTAAAATTTCATCATAGTATTTTATTTCTACCCTAATTTCCAATCCATGTGATATGTGATTCTACTAAAGACATCTCAGATACAAAGAACCGCTAGTATAAAGAATTCCAGAAACTCTAACTGCGTTCAATTCAACGCCTAGAATCCGGTCAGTTCAATGCCTAGAATCCCTTGCAGCCCTTTCATCAGACTTGTGATCATAATATTCTACCAATGCAGCTCCTGCTAATGCTGCCAGAGTAAGACCCTGAGCATGCAACCTGAAACAAAATAGCTCTAAAAGATCAGCAAAAAGTGTAAAGTTGAAATTGTGCAGGGTGGTGTCCTAGAGCAATTTCAAAGGAAAAAAAATCACCACAAGAAAAAGCGAAATTTAAGTCTGAACATAAATCAAATAAAACTATCGAAGTTCACCACGCTGACATTTATCCTGGCTAGAGAGATAACCTCAAAAACCTTGTTTCCCACTCCATTTCTATCCCCATCTATTTAATACTGACAACATAGACATTTTTTCAATGACAATACTTTATCTCTTTGGTGTAATTTACAATTGACGAAACAGAAGGAGATAAAAAGAAAAGAACAGAATGAGCATTGTTTCAGAGCAATCAAAATTATAATGAATCCAAGCCCTAGAACCAAACAATAAGTTGAATTTTTCCATTCCAATCCAAGGGAGATGCAAGATATATAAAGAAGCACAAATAAATCAATGAAATGCAATGCTTACTCACAAATGATTTGGAAAAAGTGTAACTTAATGCAAAACACAATATTTTTTCAGAGTTTTTTTTCTGGAATCCAGGAAATAAAACTTCTCAATGACTCAACCACAATGCTAACAAAAGGAGTTACATATTCAGATTCACTTTTATGAGAGCTAAAACTGATTTGAAACACAATTAATTATAAGAACAATTCAAATCATAACATTGATTTTGATACAACTTTGAGTGTTTAGCTTCCATGAAGGGAAAAGCAATTGTAACCCCAAAATAAACTCTAACTTAAAGTTGAGATTCATACCAAACAAATCTAACCTCGACTTAATTGTTCAATTCACTTTTACCTAAACATATAGATTCAACTCATTAATCAAAATCTAGTATCAAATCAAAACCAAATTTTCCACCCAGATAATGAAAAAGAGGGTTATTTGTACCTATAACAAATCCAGATAATCTGTATTCAGTAAAAAAAAATTGAAAACCCTAATTAAAAAAATTTGGGAATGGTAACAAACCTGGCGTGAATGATTTTAACACTGGTTTTCATGTTAGGTCGAGACCAATTGTACGCAATTGAACCGGTAATACCACTAAGCCACAAGCAACCTGATCACAAAAATCAAAGAAATAAAAAATAAATAAACATTATTCATCAAAAGAAAACAATAACCTAAAATCAATTTCATTAAAAATCACATGCAACAGGAAAAATAAATTGGAAAAAAATGAGAAATTTACCAACAGTACGGAGTTTGTGTTGAACAATCCATTTCCTGATAGAATCGATTTGTGTTTGAGCATCCGCCATTGTAGAGTGCGAGAGAGAAGGTGAAGAAAAATGAAGGAAGAGAAAATAAGAATGTGGCTAGAGAAGAGGTTTTTCGGCTTTATATATTGTGTGGAAATTTTGGTTGAGAATAAACAAGTCAAATGAGACGTTAAGGGAGTAAAATGAGAAGTTGTAATTGAAAACCGGGTTGGTGACGTGGCGGAACGAGGTTTAGCGTTTATGTTAAGCATGTGATTATGAGAAGAGATGTTTTAGTGGGTTCGCTTCGGTGCATTGTATTTTGTTGTAGCACACTGTTTATTTGCGAAACCGCCTCTCTTTTTTTTCTTTTTTCTTTTCTGGTACGGAAAAGGAAAAGGAATCAAGAAAGAAAGCAAGAGAAAACATTATTGCTAGTACTTAGGTGTACCTAAAAAACATATTCTAGGGACGGCATTTTTGAAGAAGTATAATATAGAGTATAGACTTGGAAGAACTTTGAACTTTTTTTTTTAATCGGGAGGACTAAATATTTGCCTTTGTTTTTCCATTTATACTTTGTTTAACTCCATATTCTTATGTAAAATATAAGAATTTATGTTATATATATCACAAGAATAAATGTGCTTTAAGAATTTAAGAATCTATTGAATATTGAATATTTATTTGTGGTGGGTTGTTTAGTTTGAAGTAGATGGAGAGAAAGGAAAGGGAGATAATATTTTAAATAAATATATTTGGTTCAATTTTTATGAAGGGAGAAAAGGGAAAAAAAGGTAGTAAAATCTCTTTAAATTATATTTTGTGTCTCTTAAATCGAAGAATTTGGAGGAAAGAAGAAAAAAAAATGAGTTTTTGATATTTAATAAATTAATATATTTATTAAATATTTTTAGTTTTATTTTATTATTTTAAAACTTTTTTGTGTTTTTGCTTCTCTTTTTTATAATTTTTTTTCTGTTAATTCAATTAATTTATTATAATTATTATTTACTTTTAATTTATTTTTTATTTTTTATTTAATATAAATTGTAATCACTGTAATTTTTTTATTTTTTATAATTTTTATTTATATATTTAATTATGTTAGTCTTTTTTTCTAATTTTGTATGTATTATATTATATTTTTTTATATAAAAAATTTCAAACTATTTATTTTTTTGTTTTCTATAATATGTAAAATATTTAATAATAAATTAATTTATGTACTCAAAATTTGTTATCAACACATAGTTTATTTTGTGTCAAGATTTATAATATGAATCAAGTGTACTTAATGTTAAAACAAGATTTAATTATGCAGATAATCTCTGAGTTTTGATGATAACATTGCATATATTTTATATGTAACAATTTTGTGTTCTAATAGTTTGTTGAGTGTGCAGATGAAATATTCTAATTGATTCAGGACTATTGTCTAAAGAATCATCATAATTATTCTTAGCACGCATCAGAAAGAGTATTTCGTGTGTTTTTGAAGAAACATCAGTAATGTTAATGAATGCTTAATGTTTGCCAGAAATAGATCCACGCGTACTTTGCATATAAGTTTATGCTTCAGAAGTCACGAGTGTTTCCAGAAAAGGAATATCCATGCAAAGATCAGATATCAAGTTTTTGCTTCAAAGATCATAAATCAAGTTAAAGTGTTTCTCAGATAAATTTTTACATCCAGCTCAGATATCAAGAAACTGTTTGTCAAATAAGTTGTTGTTACATGTCTAACAACTAGGTTCTGATTCTGAAATACTCTGATACATTTAAGAATATCACAATGAATCATCTTCTGAAATACTCATCACTTCTTATCAGAAACACTCCATCAGAAGATTTAAGAATAAAGACGTGATCTCTTATGCGCTCACTTACCACTTCAGATCAAAAATCATCTCATCAGAAGAAAAGATCATAAACTTACACAAGAAGAAAACAGTACAATAGTACAATGCCTTTTCTATTAATTGTGGAGAACGCAATGTATAGATAAAGTTTTTGTATGCTCTTTGTCTCCCACGATCATACGCTACCGTAGTAGTAGGCGGCTTAGTGAAAGTGATATTTTCCAACAGTCTTCTTTTCTCAGCAACTACATTTTAAAACCAACGATTTAGTGAAATGACTCACGAAAAAACAAATGAAGCATCAAAAGTAAAGTTACTGTGAAAACAAAAACAAAGAGATAAAGTATTCAAGAGATATTAAAAAACACAAAGAGTTGTTGCTCAGTTTTATGTTAATTATTCATTCTTTATAACACAAGAGTTGTTGCTCATTATTGTGTTATTTCATATTTTTGTATACACAAGAGTTGTTGCTCATTTTTATGTGTAAACATTTGTTCTTCACTGTGGTGTTAAATTTGATTTTTAGAAGCACTTTTGTAAACACTGTTTGATTGTAAATCTCTCTAGATTTGTTTTCTGGAGTGACTAAGTTGGAGTCAGAATTATTTGAGATGGCTAAGGTGTTTTTCTAAACTCTTAGGTGTTGTTGTAATCTTTCTAGATTATTGGATTAAGTCATTTTTTAAGGCAAAATCACCTTGGCGGATGGACAAGAGTAGCATTTTCTAAGGTGAACTTGTATAAACTAATCGTGTCAACTTTATTTCTTGTTTAACTATCTTTGTTCGTTTGCGAGAAGCATTTCTAAAAGAAATAGTTTTTGAAAACCCAATTCAAACCCCTCATTTCTTGTGTTTTTCTCAACCTTTAATTGGTATCAGAGCCCCGACTTTGTTATTGATTTTCAAATCAAATGCTTAACCGTATAAAGAGGTCCAATGTGAGAAAAACTTTTATGACTACTGCTCATACAAACGAAAGAAATGGTTACAGTATTAAGCCTCCTATTTTTTATGGAGAAAAATTTGACTATTGGAAAGATAGACTAGAAAGTTTCTTTCTAGACTATGATGCAGATATTTGGGATCTTGTTATATTTGGCTATGAAGAACTTGTATCTGTGGTTGGTATTTTCATTCCCATAAACAGAATAAATGATGATCAAAAGACTGTGCTCAATAATCATCATAAATCTATAACTATTCTTCTCAACTCAATATCTTACAATGAATATCAGAAGATCACTAATAGAGAAACAACGAAAGATATCTTTGATTCATTGAGAATGACACATGGAGGTAACACTAAAGTCAAGAAAACTAAGGCTCAGGCTTTAATCCAAAAATATGAATCCTTAAAGATAGAAGAAGATAAAACCATTGAAACTGTGTTTTCAAGGTTCCAAATTTTAGTCATGGAACTTAAAGTTTTGGATACAAGTTATTCTACAGTTGATCATGTTAAAAATATCATCAGGAGTCTTCTTAAGAAATGGAGACATATGGCCACTGCTTTGAAGTTGTCTAAGGATCTAAACAACCTATTTTTTGAAGAGTCAGTTACCTCCCTTAGAAGTCATGAAATAGAGCTAGAGGAAGATGAGCCCTAGAAAAAAGGCAAGTTTGTTGCTTTAAGATCGAGGTCAGAAAAGACCAAGTCAGAAAAGTGAAAAGCTCTCCAAGCTGAAGAAGTAGAAGATTCTGATGATGAATCTTCTGATGACGAAGACAAATTGTCTCTCTTTTCCAGAAGAGTCAAGAAAATTTGGAAGAAAATACAAAATAACTTCTAAGACCCAGAAGTAGAGAAGGTCGTTTAGAATTATCTGCAAAAGGAAGAGTGTAACGCGGTGGGATAACTGACTTGATTGTTTTGCGTTTGATCGCAATTATACGGATAGCAAGAGTCGCCACTGACTTTTCTTTTATCCAAAAGGAAAGGCTGAAAAGAACATAAAGACCTTTAGAGATGTTTTCTTGAGTTCGGGGGTAGATTATAAAAAGGGAAGGTGTTAGCATCCTTCTCATCCATAGTTATCTACGGGTTCTTAGTTGCTTGTTAGATCACTTGCTTTTGTTTGAAAACGTGTTTTGTGTGGTTTTTGAAAGTATTTTGAAAAGACGTCATAGTTTAGGAAAACTTTGTAATAGTTCTCGTTCATAAGAACGTATACAAAGTGTTTAATCTTTTGAAAAATGTTTCAAGTTTGAAAGGTGTTTTGAAAGTGTTGGTGTTTATTTTGAAAATATCAAAGATGTTTTGGTTTGGAAATGATCAAGCAACTAGGAACATTCTACCTACTCAAAAGTCTTTCTTGTTTATTTCCTCTTTCCTTTGACATTGTTATTTTACCATGGATTGATAAGTAACCTTATCTTTGGATGTAAAGGGACGGGCATGGATCATCGTATAGCCATGATAACAATATTGTTAAAATATCTTAGCGATTCTCTTTGAGGGACTAAGATCATTTTTGAAATGCAACTTTGGATAGTGTCACCGAGGGACTATGATCTTGTATTTTTTATTGCTTTTGCTAAGATATTTCACATGCCTAACATGACCATTTTTGTAAGGCAACAAAGTGGGTTTACCCTAAGGGTGTAAGTGTACAAGTGTGTTGATTTACATGCATTGTTTTGTCTTGAATTAGGGTTTGCTACTTGTTGATTTTATCTTTCCATACAAACCGCAATTACTAGCATTTATATAAAGCGATAAATTGCGGAAAGTAAAATTTCTAAGCTATTACATCATTAGGGGAGGGGGTATACAAATTTATAAATGGGGATTTTGCAAGAAAATTAAACCTAATTACCTATTACAACCATATTGAATATTGTACAAAATTGAAAAGAAAATAATGCAAGAATGTAAATGGAAAAAGACATGATTTTTGTTTGGATTTTTAACCTAAACCTAAATAAGAAAATAATTAATGAAAATCAAATGAAATTAACTTAAACTAATTAAAGAAAGAAATTAACTAAAAAAAATATTTTTTTAGGGTTTTTGTGAAAAGGTTTTAAGAATAATATAAAAATATATAGAAAATTAATTAATTAAAATAAACCTAAATTCTAAATTAATTTTAATTTACAAAAAAATAATATAATATAATAATTAAACCTAATTATCTAAATATTAATTAAAAAAAGAAATTAATTTGTTAAGAAAATTGTTTTTATTATTTTT